GGGTTATGACTATTACAAAGTTTTATTACTTATATTTTAATTGTCATTTGAATTTTAAAAATATTTTCTCTTATATTTTTTCAAATATGTTAACGTGTTAGAAATATAAATATATATTGTTCCTTGCCTAAAACTTTTAACCTATACCGATCCAAAATACTCGTACCCAATTAATTTTAGGTATATCGTAAATCACCCATTAGGTAAATATTTGATACTCGTGGGAATTAGCCAATTAGGTAATAGCTGAACGAAATCAAATACCCAAATTATCCAAATTATGGATTATTATTGACATTATAAATATATTTTTTAATAAGATTTCTAATATAATTTTTCAAATGATAGTTTCTGGTCAATTTCAGTCGGATCTCATATTACTTGAGACATCCTGATTGAATGAAAAATAAGAATATAAAAGTTGAAATATAAGTTATGTATGATTATTGTATAAGATTATAAACCGTCCTAATGTAACATCATATAGTTAATACATTTTTATTTACGGCGTCATCTTCATATACTACAATGGCATCTCCATATATATTATATATATATATAGACAATGTGCATCTAATTTATCTTACACTTATCTCTCTCCAAACCAGCCAAGAACAAAAGTACAGAAGAAACCAAAAAACTCTCTCATGTCTTTGCCACGTAGATATGGACGTCGAACATCACAAGTCCGGCTACAACGGTAGACCAATAACAACAAATTCTGGAATTTAAGAGAAGGACACATGTCCACTTAAAAAAAAGGTCAACAAAATTTGTTTTACGTAATTTGCATTGAAGTCAAGAACGTCTCATCTTCCTCGCAGCTCTACCATCCTTCTTCCCTCTTCGTTCCGTCTCCCAAGATCAAGAAAATTTGCAAACTTGCTTCCGTCACTCTGATACAATTTGCAAAATTTTGAGTGACGTTGTCGTCGCTGTCGTCTTCTTATTGCTTAACGACAGACCCAGATTTCACCATGATTTTGATTCATCAAATAAACGTCTTCACCTTTCATCAACATCACTAAAACATCAAAGCTAGCACCAAGTAGATAAAAACAAAAATATATATGACCCGTGAGAGTGACCCGTTCAGTTCTTTAAACAAATAAATATTTTTCTATTAATTCAAAGATTTGAAAACATGATACGAATTGTTTTTATAGATGTATATTTATAGTAGTGATTGAAACTTTCTGTTAATGATATAAACGATGTGGGACAAAAATCTGTACTCCTTTCTTTTTTTTTATTTTGTCCCACATCGAAACATACACACAATAGAAGCTAAATTTTTCTTTATAAATAGGAAATGTGACTTCCTTTCATTTGCACAATGTTGGACTAAATTCTAATACCCATTATTTCTGGGAATAGAATTCTATGCCCAAAACAAAATTAATTTTTTTTCTTTACTTGGTTATGGAGTCGAAACAAGTACTTGCAGCTTTGCAAGTAATCTAAATTTTGCCCAGTTCGAAATTGTATTACCCGTGCAAGGCAGGTCGTGTCGTTGGTAGGGCAAAAATCTCTGGTACCCGACTCATGCCCAGCCCAAAAGATGAAGAGTTAAAAACATTTGTGATTTTTTTTTAAATGAAGAGATGCCACGTGTCACTCTCCTGGAGAGTGATATCCTCTCATTATATATAAGATTTCAAATTTGACAACCGTATTCGTTATTTGGTGAGTTATGTAATGTTAGATTCTGACCCTGAGCGAATAAAATCTAACTGGAATCAAAGTCTGAATAATATAAAGTAAATATGTGATCATTTTTTGGGTTCGCTCGGTTTGATTTGGTGAGTTAAAATGTTGTACAATATTTCACATTTGACCAAATATGTTTGTTCTTTTTGTTTTTTATTTGAAAGAATGTTGTTTCTGACTTGTGATGATGTTAACCTTGGATTAACTAAATTTGTGAACTTTAGTCAATTGAACAAATGTCGGTTCTCACCGTGATGTTGTTAACATTGGGTTAATTAATTTGTAAACTTTAGTCAATTGAACAAATGTAACTATAACACAGGAAGTTGTAAACTTCAGTCAATTAAACAAATGTTGGTTCTGATCCGTGATGTTGTTAACCTTGGGTTAACCAAATTTGTAAACTTCAATCAATTGAACAAATGTTGGTTCTCACCCGTGATGTTGTAAACCTTGGGTTAATTAAATTTGTGAACTTTAGTCAATTGAACAAATGTAACTATAACACAGTAAGTTGTGAACTTGAGTCAATTAAACAAATGATGGTTCTGACCCGCGATGTTGTTAACTTTGTTTTAACTAAATTTGTGAACTTTAGTCAATTGAACAAATGTAACTATAACACAGGAAGTTGTGAACTTCAGTCAATTAAACAAATGTTGGTTCTGATCCGTGATGTTGTTAACCTTGGGTTAACTAAATTTGTGAACTTTAATCAATTGAACAAATGTTGGTTCTCACCCTTGATGTTGTTAACCTTAGGTTAATTAAATTTGTGACTTTAGTCAATTGAACAAATGTAACTATAACATAGCAAGTTGTGAACTTGAGTCAATTAAACAAATGTTGGTTCTGACCCGTGATGTTGTTAACTTTGTGTTAACTAAATTTGTGAACTTTAGTCAACTGAACAAATGTTGGTTCTCACCTGTGATGTTGTTAACCTTGGATTAATTAAATTTGTGAACTTGAGTCAATTGAACAAATGTAACTATAACACATGGAGTTGTAATTATCAGTCAATTAGTCAATTAAACAAATGTTGGTTCTGACCCATAATGTTGTTAACGTTGGGTTAACTAAATCTAACGTTGGGTTGACCCATATTAGTCAAAAATCCCAGCTTTGGATAATTTATTGGGTTATTTTTTATCAGCTAATGTAATTTTTTTTATGTTGATTTTCTGATAATAATAGAATATTTTAATTTTAGAACAAAAATTTGTGTTGAAAAATCTAACCCAATAAATTATCCAAAGCTGGTATTTTTGACTAATCAAGCGACCCAAATCAAACCGAGACGGTTTTCAACTCATATCATTTTTTTCTCTTCTTTTATAAATTTGTCTATGAGACGCGTTAAAGTCAGGTTTACAAGTTTTTAGATCTATTCTTTTCTATGCCTTTTGGAAAAAACCCGTATTTAAACGAATATTGGTTGTAATATGTGATGTTGCGAATTCAATTTGTGAACATTAGGTTTCCAAAACAGAATATTGTTTTAAAGTTTGATTATGTTTTTTATTATATATTAAGCCTCAATTATTTGAATGAGATTTATTTGTTTTCAACTCATATCAATTTTTTTTTATCTTTTATTATTTTTCTGTAAGAGATTAAGTTTGATTAGACACATCCTATACTTAAATACTGATGTACGATGTTCCAATACATGAGTAAATTGTTATAGCCAGTCCAAATATTGCTATTAAGATTATGGCTTTGATTGGTGACACTACAAATAGTAAATGCATTACAAAAAAATGAAGCATTATAATAGTAGAGTTGTACAAACTATTGTGTTACATAACATGCATATTATGGGCTTTTCAATGTACCATTATTTTTTTTAGTTGTACCATCATTTTATAGTGGTTTGTAACATTGTTTTTTACTACTACTTTTGTACTATTACCCTACCTGTAACATTGGACGTTGCCTAAATCAAGAGAATAATTTTTGGACTTTCGTTTGACTAAACTAAACGACCCCACTTTCCTTTCATCTGCCATTTTTTTTTCACGACAGTCTCTCTTTTTCTTCACCTTCTTCTTCACTTTATCTATCAATTCAGTTCCAGAAGCTTCTCTAACCCATTCGTTGCTTGTTCATCTCCACTCAACGTTTGCAATCTGATAGAAACTTTTGCTTTAATCAGTTTGAAATGAATTATCGACATGCAAATCAGTTACTACCGATTTAGAGATGCTCGAGATTCATTTTTCATTTTTCATTTATCGGATTCCAAGATCGCAGGTATGATTTCGTATCTATTTGTTTTAAAAATAGAGATTACATAGAAATTTAGATCGCAAGAATCCTTCGTGCTCAGTCTTTCTTCCGAATTAAGCTTTTGATAATTTCTTCTCAATTGCAAAACTTAAAGTCTGTGAACAATAGCTGCTTAATTTTGTTTTTCTGCAGCCGAGGAGCTAGAAGAAGAAGACATTTGATATTATTTCTGGATATATGAGACCCAAGAAATTAATCAGCTTCATAAAACGCAGGTATACGACCTAGTTTCTTCATCGAAGCAATATCTCTGTTTCTTCTTAATCTGCAATCTTTAACATTTGTTTCCCATTTATGCAGCTTCTCATGGGATTCGAAATTGAACTCCACTGGTGATGGTGCTCATATCTGCAATTCGCCATCCCTGCCGATTTAGCTCCGATCGCTTTTGATTTACAGAATCCAGTTTTTCTTTCATCTTTTGAATTCAATTAGTTTTCTGCAATTATTTTTTTTTCCTATGAACTTTTTTGTAAATCAAGTGGGCTTTAGTCAATTGTGGCCCAATCCGAAACAAAGCTAAATTTGGTGTTATTGCCTTTCTCCTCCATGACGGTTTCTGCAAGAAAAAGAAACAAGGAATTATGGCATAATTCCAGAAGCTAAAAGGAAAATTTCCAGCAAGTTAATGGAAATTACAGAGACATTGTGGCTATATAAGGAGGCATCTCATTCTCATTCAAGATCATCCCAAGCATCAAAGAGCAAGAGAAACAATAGAGAGAGAGAATAATAGGAGAGATAGGAGAGTGTTCTTATTCAAAGTTTTATTATTTTCTAAAGGTTGTTTGTAACTCGTTGGTTAGTAATAAAGTTGTGGGAAGGATCTCACCCGAGACGGTCCCGGTTAGAGGCTGGTAATTCTCGGTTAAATCAAACACTTTGTGTCTTTTACTTTTCTCAAACAAAAAAGGCTTCCTATCTAAGCTAAGGCAAAGCTAAAAACCCTAACAAGTGGTATCAGAGCAATCCAGGTTTGATTGCAAGTGCTAGAAGATATGGAGCCAACTCAAGGAAAGTTTGAGATGGAGAAGTTTGACGGCAAAGGTGACTTTGGTATGTGGAAGTTCAAGATGATGGGTCAGCTAGAGATACAAGGTCTGCTTTCAGTTATTAAAGAAGATTTTACTATCTATTTAAAATCTGATAAGCAAGAAGAAGGATCAGAAGCAAAGGTATCAAACAAGAAGGCAGCTAAAGATCTGGGAACATGCTTAAGTGATCCTATTCTGAGGAAGATTATGCATGAGACAACTGCATTGGGCATGTGGAAGGCACTTGAAAGGATTTATCAAACTAAGTCTCTTCCCTAACAGAATATACTTGAAGAAACAATTCTCTTGCTATAAGATGGAAGAAGACAAGACGATAGAAGAGAATGTTGACATATTTCTGAGGCTCATTGCAGATTTGGACAGTCTCAAGGTTAGTATCTCAGATGAAGACCATGCCATACAGCTCTTGTCAGGACTTCCAGCAGCATATGAACCATTGGTTCACACTCTCCAGTACGGGTCTGGAAAGGAGACGCTTACAGTGAATGAAGTAGTTACTTCAGCCTATTCTAAAGAAGCTGAACTTAGGCAAAAGGGATTACTCAATAAAAGTAGGCAGGTTGCGGAGGGTTTGTATGTTGAGTCAAGAGGAAGATCAGATAAGCAGGGAGGAAGTCCTAAGAACAAGAGCAGGTCAAAGTCAAAACAGAAGTTTGATAAGAACAACACAGGTTGTTTTATTTGTGGATCAGAAGATCACTGGAAAAGGGAATGTCCAGAAAGGAAGAAGCCGCCTAATTCTGCAAATATTGCAGTGGAACCTAAACAACCGATAGTGTTAACTGTTAGCACTCAAGACTCAAAGAAGGAATGGGTTATGGACTCAGGTTGTTCATATCACAGTACACCAAACAAAGAGGTCTTGTTTGACTTCAAGGAGTTTGATGGTGGTAGAGTTTTGATGGCTAATAAGTAGCCATCACTTATGGTAACATCAAAGGAATAGGGAAGATTCGGATTCAGAATCCAGATGGTTCTGAGGTGATACTTAGGGATGTAAAATACATACCGGAGGTGAGTAGGAATCTTATTTCTTACGGGATGTTAGAAAGATCAGGTTGTAGATATGAAGGAAGAAACTTCAAGGTTCGGTTCTACAAAGGCGGGAAGAAGGCAATCTCAGGAAAATACAAGGATGGATTGTATTATCTTGAAGGCAAGGTCTCTAAGAATGAAGAGAACAATTCTGGAGTTGAGAAGGAAGTTAGACAGGAAAGGTCAAAGAAAGTGACTTTTGGTCAGAATCTGGTTCAGGAAGCAACTCCTAATGGTTTGGAAAAAGATGATTCATTAGCTCAAGGTGGAGATTCTAAAGAAACTGAATCTAAAGAGAGCAATGAAGAATCTGGGATAAAAGAGCTTGAGGTGGAAGGCTTGGAAAAGGTTTCTAAGATATTGGGAATGGGGATCTTCGGAGATAGAGCTAAGGAAGAAGAAACTCTATCTAAGATTTATTCCAATGAAGAGAAAGAAGATTTTCCAAGTAAAGCAGTACCTGGACAAAAGCTTCAGGTTTGCTGCAAGTTTCCAAGCTTAAACTGAAGCAGGATTCAGCTCCAGGTAACTCCACTATCGACATCACACTCTCGCATGAAGAAGGAAGAAGAACATGAAAACAGGTCAGTTTTCGGAGATGTTCTTATGTCGATAGAGAAAAACAAGGTTGTTTAATGGGTTTAAGGAGTTACCTGTTGGAATCAGTTGTCATGGTGAAGAGACATTGATTCCAGGTGGAGCTGGTTGGGAGGAAAGATTCAAGAGAATACAAGTTAGTTTTCAGGAGAGTTCTTGAATCTCAGGAAATAAGGCGGGAGAGGTATAAAGGCAGAGGTAAAGGAGTTACCTAAAGTTACAGTAGCAGGAGAGAAGAGTTATTGTTCATCAAAGGCAGCTGAAAGGAAAAGATATCAAAGAGTATCAAGAAAAAGGGATATCAAAGGGATCAACAAAGAGTGATGAATAAATAACAAGAACAAGGTACCTGTTCTAGTATGAAGTTGAAGAAAGAGTTATTGACTTCAGGTGGAGCTGCTGTGAGAAGAAAAGGAAAATCTAAGAGTAAGATTTCACAAGCAATCACAGGTTCAAGGTGATCTCATTATCAAGATGCTAGCAAAGACAAAAGGGAGAGAAACAAGTTGGTTTCTAAAAGCTTTTGTAAATTCGATAATGGAGAAGGAAGAACAAGTTACCTGTGTGAGAAATCGGAAACAGAGGAGTGTTGATTCTGGTTTCAGGTGGAGCTCGTGAAGACAAGAAAAGAGATTTTCAGGAAATTAAGCAATGTCTCAAGGAAATTCGCAGAGACAAGGCATGGAAGTGATGATTCAGGTTAAGAGGGTTTACCTGTGTCATTGGGGGCAGTGGAAGAGCACCAATCGCTCACCGGAGAAGCTGCGTAGGAAGAATCGAAATTTTATAAATTTCGTAAACTGTAATCTCAGAAAAGGGAGTTAAGTTCATCACAGTAAGGAGATGAAGAGGAGTTTACCTGAGATTACAGAAGCTAATGGAGTCACAGCCATACGGCAGCAAAGGAATCGCCGGAGGAAGAGCTCTGTTGGAATCGCCGAATATGTATGTTAATAACATTATTTTGTTTCCACTGAAACCGAATCATCACAAAAGAGAAGAATCCATGTTTACTTTCAACAATCTGAAAGAGGGGAAAAAAGTAATATAAAAGAGTTGGTTAAAACGAAAAAAAAAAAAAAAAAAAAAAAAAACAGAAAACATTAGGCAAATATGATTATAATCTGAAATGATAAGAAGTAGGACTAAAAGTAAAGCATTAGACATATAGTCATTGTTTTATGATTGATTACTTACAGTTTCGTAAGTGTATTGCTTCTCTAAGTGCGAAATATTAGATTGGATCCAAGAGGTTTTGAAGCCACATGTTCCTGCAAAGAGCGATTGGAAGAGCATTGGCGATATTAAAAAACAGAAGGTCACAATTTCTAGGTAAGTTCTCATAAGCGTTAAGAAATGGAGCTTGATGCAATAAAAAACTCATTGAACCAAAGCGTGGTACTTTTCTTTTTCCAAATTGGGTTTGGCATGCTTTCTTGCAAAAGCCTCTGTTTTCACACACTGCAAGAGAGATTGAGATTAAGATGTTAGAATCAAAAGCATGTATAAAGCTTACAACATCACACTAACTTACATTTTCTTTTGCTCTGTTTTGTTTCCTCAAATAAATGGAGCTTGATGCATCGATGTCGATTACTCGAATTCTGGAGGTCAAAAAACTGTACCTTTCTATACAAAACAGAGAGGATAAGGTATGTTTTCTTGCATAAACATGTGTTTTCTTACCCTGCAAGATAGATTGAAATCAAGATTTTAGGATCGAAAGCCTGTATAAAGCTTAGAATATTACGCTGATTTAAGTAACATCAAGGTGTGGAGTTCTGGATGTACTGTTTAATTCCCATTGTCCTGCATAATCAACGAAACAAACGAATGTAAGTGTTCGAAATTAACGAAAACTCACTACCTCGACATGGGGCCTTGAATCATATTGTCTCTGCTGATGAAAATGCATATCGCTGACGTAGGTTCAAGATCTCCACTTGGATTAGTTTGCGCAAATAGTAACCGGAAGAGCTTAGCCAAGAATAATACTATTTGTTACACCGCTTGTGAGATTTCGAGGTATGTACTCAAGGCTATTCTGTATTTATAGGGTCAACTGGATTGTTCATTAGGTTTAGAAGCATTTAAAAGAGAATATACCGGATGAGCTGAGATTACGCATTTCGTAACCTGCACCATTCCATTTGTAAAGCAGCATATATTTAGGTATCAAAACTGATTTCACAGCTACTTCTTTGCCTTTTTGTATACCGCATTCTTAATTTGTGAGTATCGTAATTAATTTTCCGAGATATTACGTTCCTTTTATATGGAGTACTCTTCAAGGCGAATATTTTATTTCCTCTTCCGACATTACCGTGATTCTATTTTCTCTAATTAGCACCGATTTATGTAATTCGGTAACATGCTTTATTTTTTGTAACAAACATTTCCAATTCAAACCGGTTATTGTTTAACTGTGATGCGGTATGATTTAAGTTGTTTTCTTGAAAGGGTCCGCGTGTTTTGTATTTTCAGTTGGGTCGGGTTAATTAGATGATTTAGTTGTTAATTTCGGGTTAAATAGGTGTTTGGTAGGCCTGGGCAAATTATCCGTTATATTTGCTTCGATCCGTTATCCGTTCCGATTCGATCCGAAAAATCCGGATAACCGTAATTTTACAAAGCAAAGCAAATACTAAAAATTAATATCCGTTAAAACCGGAGCAAATCACAAATACTGAAATTTTAAAAGCCGGATATCCGATCCGCTCCGTTATACATATAGATATATCTATATATATAAAATTACATATATAAATTGGATGATTGTTATGTTTATATCTAAATTTTATAAATCTATATTCATTAAATTGATTATTTAAACACTAAAAAAAATTAAAACAAAATAACTACTAATAGTTTTTTAATTAAAATTATATTTTTGTGTTAAAAATTGATTTTTCTGAAATTTTTTAAATACAAATATTTTTTAAAATATTTACGGAGTGGATAATTCACGGATATTAAACAGAGTTACGGATATCCGGATCAAACGGATCGGAGCGGATAATCCGCGGATATTAAACAAAGTTACGAATATCCGGATTTTCGGATATCCGAAAATTTTCGGATCGGATCGGATCAGAAAATCAAATATCCGGACGGATCGGATCGGATCACGGATACCTGTTTTTTGCCTAGTATTTGCTCCGTGCCCAGGGCTAGTGTTTGGCTACAGGTATAGGCCCTTTGTTAGTGTACTTTTTTTTTTTGTTCCTCTACTTTAATAGTATAGATAACGATTCATATATATTATTATAAATACAAAAATCTATGGCCTACTGGAAATTACAAGATTAATACAAATGGCCCAATAGCGGAATTATTCTAATACTGAATTAGACCCATAAACTAAATCACCTAATGACTCAGCTCCCGTCCGTCGTCGTTTTGGTTCGTCTCCGGTATAATAAAATCAATTCGGACGCCGTTTCTTGCACGACCGCGTCAATGATCTCCCGCTCAATCTCTACAACGATCTCTTCTCCTTCCTCTTCAACTTTCTTCGTCTCTAGAAGATCATAAACGTCCACTAGAGCGATCTCTCCTGGAATTGAACAGTATCTCGATACAGCGGAACAGAGCTCGCCGATTAGCTCCGATCCACGATAGTTTTGTCGTCGTTTCACGGTTTCTTCGTCTGATTTGTAATTCCTCGTTACTTGCGGACTATTCTCCTCGGTTGAAGTGGAGCAAATCGATGCGTCCTCGTTCGATTTCACTTGTTCAGTTTCGTTTATCTGTGAAAACGAGAAACGCGACAATGAAGAGGAAGAGCCTATCAGGTGTTTGTGTTATTGTCCTAATGAAAACAAAACAAAACTTGGACTGGATTTTTACCTGTTTCTGAAGAGGTTCTGTGGCAGAGATTTTGTCAAGATTCAACTTTGGGGTTTTCTTGGATCTCTTCTTCTGTAAAGAACTGCTACAATGATTAACTTTAGCGTCTCTTGATTCAGACAAGAACCTTGTTTCACTCTCTGCCTTCTTGCATTTGCTGATAGGTTTTAGTTCCTTTTGTTTTGTTCTTGTCTTCTTCTGTTTCTCTCCAGAAGCTTTTGGCACGGAGACAAGGATCACCGTCGTTGGCTTTGGCTTCGGCTTCGGCTTCTGTGTGATTTGACATGATGATTTGTTCTCTTTACCTGAGAACCTCCTGGTTCTTGGAGAGCAAGAAACTGATGTGTCTCTTCTTCTAAGCTCATTACTGGTGTTTTGTTGTGATTGTCTTGCCTCCTCTCTGTTCTTCACTGAGTTTGTTATATCCATACCAACGACTCTTCTGGTGACGACTCTCTGTTTGATTTGTTTTACAATCTGCCTCGCGTAATCTCTCGGACTCCGGTTCTCTTCTTGATCTTGTTTCATCAGTCTCAGCCTCTGACAACCAGACTCTTCATGCTTACTCTCTTTGTTCAGCTGAAGAGAAAGACGATGAACGTCGAAATCCGATTTCCGAGCAGAGGAGATTCTAGGGCTCTCAGGTAAAGATCTCGTCCCCGACCGGGAAAGTCTATGGCTTGTGAGAGTATGAAGATTTGTGAGTGGATGGGTTTTATCAGGAAGAAGATCAAGACCCATTAGTCTAGCCACCAAGTTTGGTGTTTTGCTTCCTGGTGAGTTGCAGATTTCAGATGAAGAAGTCGAAGTATCAGTCGCAAGAGCTGTGAGTCTTGATCTCTTTGTCTCTGTCTCTGTCTCTGTCCTCACTCGCATGCTTACCTGCATTTTCAAGGCCATTATCAGAACAATACAGACAAATTAGTAAAACCCCATTTAATAAAGAAAAAAATTGACTTACAGGAATATTCAAACTTTGCTTGTCCTTGAATGTTGTTGATGGTGGAGACTCTTGTACTAACTTCAAGTCTGCAAAATTTCATAATAAATCCTTTATTAGTAGCCTCTCTTGCTCTAATCGTCTCTTAAACATGTCTATTTATCCTTTTCTAAGTCTAGAAAATCAACTTATGTTGTAAGAGAGAAGAATCAATACCTTTTGACCTTGAAGGAGAATCAATGGTGAGATTATGATGAGAAGGGAAGTAGAGACTTTGGAAATCAAATAAGTGATAAAAAGCAGCCATGCATCCATTTGCTGCATTTTCTTTTCTCTTTGACTTATGTGAAGAGATTGCTCCGCCGCCGCCGTGGCCGTGGAGTCTCTGGCAGTCTCTTCCCATTTGTAGTAAAGAAAGAAGAAAAAGCTTACACCTTTTTTTGAAAGCTTAAACTTTTTTTCACCTCTTTAACAAAGCGACTGACAAAAAGGTTCAAAAAGAATCAAGAACTCTGCCGGAGTAAAAATCCAAGGACTGATGGTTGTGGCAAATTTGTTTTTTTTTTAAATGTTTTTTGTTTCATGAGTTATTACCAGACAAGAGATGTGTAGAAACACTTCTTTCTCTCTGCAATTCTCTACCTCTTCTCTTTCTCTCTCTCTCTTACATTGGGAATCGAACAGAGGATGGTGAAGAATATTTAATGTGACAGAAATGTTGTTATTTCAAAGAGGATAATAAATTACAGATAATGAAAACTGTAAAATAGTTAATGCATCTCTTCAGGAACAGACAGCTTGATTGTTTACAATATCATTATCCACCACACTTCATGTCTCTCTTCTCTTTCTCTCTCTGTACTAATTTGTGTTTTCAAGTTTTGAACTTTAAAAACTCAAAGACTGTTTCCTGTTTGGGTTTTGTTCTTTGGGATTTTCAAACTCGTGAACCCTTTTTTCTCCTAAAAAAACTTTTTTTTAGGCTTACGTAACAGAATATTCTCACTATATGTAAGCAGTTTGTTTCATGATACCGAGATGGGTTTAGTTAGGTTAATGTACAATACTATACATCACCACAGTTTTTTTCAACTATTGTAGACCTTCGATGTCTTTGTATTTTCTACTTTCTAGGATTTGTCTCCTCTCTCTCACTCTTCTTTTTAAATCCATCTTTTGAGTTTTTTTGTGTTGATGTTTTTGTTTTCTTTGCGGCACAAACTTCTTTACACGTAGTTAGATGTGTTTTTTTTTTTAAATCACTACAGTATGTGAATGTGACTTATGCAAGACATCTTGTTCATTTCCATTGTATTAATGACGAGTTGAGAGCGTTGACAATGTACATAACTAATAAGGCTTGGACACTCTCTTGTTCGGGACACGTGGCACCTTTTTTTTTTTTCTTCTAAACATCAAAACAACGTTGTTTTGCGTACGGATTTTTTTCCCCCGCTAACACCAAAACGACGCCGTTTCCTGTCACGTAAGCCGATTTTTTTAAATCTTCCGTCTGACTCCAAAACGACGTCGTTTTGGAATGAATCTCAACACCCCAAAACGACATCGTTTCCTTCGTTACTTCCGCCCAATTGCTTTCTTCGTCAGATTCACTACGCGATATAGCTTCCCTTCCGGCGAGACTATCCAACTTTCCGCAGCCGCCGTTACTGATGTTATTGCTGCCCTTTAATTTCAGAGTTTACTTCTCCTACGGGCTTGCAGTAGAAAAAAATCGATCCCTCACCCTCTTTCCTCTCAAACACGTCCGTCTCTCCGGCCCACCAGTCGCCATGGATTCCGGTCACCCTCTGGCTCTACCACCGTCGACCTGTACTTACGAAGAGTTACTTTTGGCTTGTTCCGTTCTCGCCGAAGAAGCTACCAGCGTTGATAGCCTTCCTCGCGGTGAAAGAAAAGAGTTTACCTAGGTTACATTTTCCATTTATCTCGAGCCGATGGCAATTAACAAAGTCATGGACTAACCTCCGAAGTGGCCACCAGTTCCAGCAAGGTATTTTATTTGATTTGATAGATTGACCTTTGGTTTCATTTGATTTGAGAATTATCGACCTGCTCCATTCTGGTTTGTGGCTTAATATTGTGGGAAAGATTAGCTTCCAAGTTCATATGAAGATTTTATTTTGTTAATATTTGCTCACCACTTGACAATCTTGGATGTCTTTACAGACATATATATATATTTGTGCATACGTAACCAAACTTTATTTTCTTCACAGGTAAGAAATTTCTTAATGAATTGAACCAACAAAGTTCTTTCAAGTTTAAGTTCAAGACATTTCTCAATGATGGTAAGAATTTTCATGTTTGGTGTTATATATTTAATATATGTGTTTCTTATGTTGAAATTTCAAACTGGTGAGAAGATCTAAAAGTGACGAAGAAATTAAGCCAAATAGTTATGCAATTAAGAATATTGTCATGCGTCTTCTTTAACCTTTCGTATTGCTTAGTAGAACTTTAAAACCAATATGGATCTTTTCTGGTTCTTGTGCAGTTTAGAAATCGAGGATGTAGAAGACTATCCAAGAATAACAGAGAATGGTGTTGCTTCTCTCTCTACGGCTGCCTTTCTCTCGATGATCGTTTGCTTTGCTACAATGTGAGTTATCTTCTATACATCCCTGCTCGGCCGCTCTTTTAGTGTTGTGCTGCATCGCCCTCAAATAGAAGTATTAAATATTTCATGTGCCTAGCTTTAGCGACGGTTTCCATATTCTGCTTTTTTTAAAAAAAATGCTGGGCTTTAGGATACAGAGAAGCAGAGAAGAGGGACTTTGCTGGTATGTATGAATTTTTCCTTTCACTGTTTGGCCCTCATCAGATTGTAAGTTTTCAAAAGTTTGATACAAATATGCAGTGCCTGTAAGAATCGTGGATTCATCGAAAGACTTGAACTCTTACGGGCTTGGGAATGTTGACTGGAAAGAAAGGATCCAAGGTTGGAAGCTGAAACAGGAGAAGAATATGTTACAGATGAGTGGTAAAATTCATGAAGGGAAGGGAGGAGAGATTGAAGGGACTGGTTCCAATGGTGAAGAACTCCAAATGTAAGTTAAAAGTCTGCATTTTATTTGTAGTGACACTAAGAACCGATCTTGGTTACATACTCTTCTGAATTCGTTTGCTATTGGTTATTGTACTGTACTTACAGGGATGGTGATGCTCGGCTTCCTATGAGCTGTGTGATTACTATTCCATCCTCTCGCATGACACCTTATCGTATTGTGATAGTTTTCCGGCTCCTCATTTTGGGAGTGTTCTTGCATTATCGTGTAACTCATCCCGTGAAAGATGCATATCCCCTGTGGTTGACCTCAGTTATTTGTGAGATCTGGTTTGCCTTTTCTTGGCTTCTTGATCAGTTTCCAAAATGGTGTCCCATTAACAGGGAAACTTTTCTTGACAGGCTTGCTTTAAGTTTGGTTCTTACAACTTTATGCTCCTCTCCATCTTTCATAACTAACCTTCTTCATAGGGTATACGTGTATAGAAAGTTTCTAAAATTTGATAGCTCTTCAGGAAGGAAGCTTAAGCAAGGATTGGTATTGCTCTCATGGTCAGTGTGATATTGTTTTGTTTCTCATGTTTGATTGGTTTGGAAAAAAAGACACTTAAAGCAATGCTTTTTTTCACACAGGTTTCGGATGGACATTCAATACGGAAAGGAAAGAGCCTCTACCTGGTCCTCTTCAAGTTTGCATGTCGCATCAGCTCTCATGGCAGAAGCTTTAGCTGTTAGATCAGCTCTACTAAGCGCTATTTCCAAAGATGCAGAGAAAATACAATAGCTGCGTCAGAGCTGTGCTTTCTACAGTAGCTGGGACGCTGAGTTCCCAAATCAGCAACAAAAGCAGAAGCATCAGGAGCAGCAACCGCAGCAACATCATCCACGGCACTACTCGTGGATCTAAACTACAAACTTTGTTTCAATTGAGTAATATGAATTGTTTCCACCATAAGTTTTCACATGTATAAGATTCTATTAACACTAAGATTATTTGTATAAGCAATTCATAAATTTGTTATCATTTTAAATTTGCTACCATTTTAAATTTGCTTTCTTTACTACTTAGATCATAATATAACATTTAAACAAATTGGTTACTAAGTTTTGGTTTGATATACTTTAACAAAACAAAAAAAAAGTTTTGATTTTATATGAATCTATGAATTAAACTTTTTTAAAATTAAACCCGCGCGTAGAGCGGGTACTCTCCTAGTTTAATTAAAGTTGTGTCTAAATCGCTTTTAACGTTTGAATCGTCTTTCCACGCTTTTAGTAATCGCATTATGTGGGTTGCTCCACTATCCAATTTTGTATACACATGCACATATACAAGTAGAGCAACACTTTTACCAATAAAAAGTAGAGCAATCCACATTGCCTTTTATTCAAGAAAGAGAGTCTGTGCTTTAATAATAAAATGTAGTAAAAATATATGAGCCAAATTTCATTTTTGTAACTACGTACTTTTCTTTGTATAATTTTTTTTTAAAAAATGGTAATTGCTGAGAAATCTTGGTTAGAAGAAAAGTTGAACAATGAATTTTTCATTTTTCTTATAATTTATAAATGTAAATTTTAAAATATTATGATAAAACATTTCTTAGATAACGGCTTAACTATTAGTTGAATTACATAAGACTTAATCCTTTATCAAAAAAATACTTATAAAACTTTATTTGTTATTTTAGAGTGTAGAAGTGATTAAGACCGTCCAACTATATTATCCATCGTAATAGTTAAAAAGGCAGTACAAATAGTATTTTTTTGGGGGTTAACTTGTGGAAAGGACAATGAAAATTCAAATGTGTCAGATTCAATTCATAGAACCGGTACGTATGTGGGAGGGTTTTCACATGATGGATTTTTCTAAATGTTAAAAAGATAGTACAGAAATATGCTGCAATGGTTAAGAAAATCCATAATATTCTTTATCAAAAAAAGAAAATCCATAATATTTACTTCATATAGATAGACCCAACCGTTAAGCAATTAATAATCTAACACAAAATTTGAATATTTAAAATGCTCAAATAATCTTTTCATATTTTATCTAATAACTAGCACGTAAATAAGTGTCCATGGTTTTACCCATTGAGTTTAGAAAACGTAAGTTATATGTAAGATGTGAGATACACATATAGTGATGGGTAACATATATGCTTGACGAGATGAAGTGCGAAAGTAAGATAAAAGTGAAAAGAGCTAGAGCTATTGCTAAGAGTTCTTGTAGATAATTTTGGATTCTTTTCCAGGAGCACGAGGTCTTCATTATATAAGTTGGCTTCACGATGAATATCTTCATCTTTGTTAAATTGGAAAACTTTTTCTTGTTTTTATTTTCTTTCTATTCTTCGAGTCGGCATATATTTCCCGAAAGATTTTGCCGTTCTCCTCAAGATTTGTCCTTTATTTGAGGAGGTTAAAGCTAAAGACGAGATGGGTTAATGGGTTGTGATGTTACTAATTGTGACAGACTCAAGAAAATGTGTTAATTTCACCTCTAACATTATATAACTTCAACGGTATCGGTAAAAAAATATAAACAAACGTTGTTTCTGCGAATATTGGCCGGAAAGAATCCTTGTTTTTGTTGATAGTAGATATGAAATGTCAAAAGAATGAAAATGTGAGAATTCTCTTCTCTAAAACAACAAGGCTCTTTAATAAATCATTTTAAAGTATGTCTACACAACATTCCGAAGACATATATTGTAGAATTAAACAAAAAAACTTGAATCATTTTAGATATAAAATAAATAAAAATATCGACAAAAATGAAATTAAAGAAGTACATTCGAAAAATCCTAAATGATAAAGGAAATACAAAACATTGGCAGCATATTATTACGAAGACAGATATTGCCAACTCCACAAGTAGTATATTGCCACAACCCACAAGCATATTGGTATGTCATCGTTTTGTTTTTGTTAATTATTAATAGTTCTTACTAATGACAAAAAGAAATTGAGTCACTAATTATTTAAGAGTTCTTACTAATTATTATCGTTGGTCACCCTTCTATATAAATGAGTTCGACGATAACGATGGGTTGCATACAGTGGCGAGTCCACTAACACTGATATGGTGTCACATGACACCGTAACAATTTGTATGTAAACGTTTTTTTCGTTAAAATATCATTGATTTTGTTAGATTGCATGGAAATGTTTTGCCTTTTTTTTTTTTTTTTTTTTTTTTTTTTTCTTAATAGCCCAGAAGGGAAACTTTTACAAGGGGTCCTCAAAAGAGGATTAAAAGCAGATTACAGCAACAAAAGCAGCAGCATACAGAAAACCCAGTTATAGTTTGATTCTTCATATGATCCCTTAAGAAATAGTTTGATTCTTCATATGACACCGGTAACATTTTTGCCTATGATCCCTTAAGAAATAGTTTGATTCTTCATATGACACCGGTAACATTTTTTTCTAGATATGCATACATTTATAATATATATTTTTTTGTCTCTCCACATCCATAGCATGTCACTAACATTAGTTACCAACGACAACTGATCTATAGCGGATAACAACAAAAACGTTATATTCTCAAATGCGACGATGTTCGTAACTTGTAAGTTGTGACACCTTAAATATATGTCCAGAGGTTTTAAAGTAACAAATAATATTCAACACCACTATATACAATCTGCAATATTTACCAAATTTACGGTAAAGCCAGTAACTAATATATGAAATATGTAACTTTAAGGGCCCCTACGTCAATAAATTAGGGTTTTGAGGATATATCAAATCTATTGACCTCAGACAAGATCGAACATCAACGAAAGGTTTGAAAACGATAGTGATAGAGCTTAGCTGCCCATTGCTAAAATTCAAAAAAACTAAAATATCCCACATGGAAGAGAAAGGGATGTGTATCAGAGTCCTACTGGGTCAGATCCCATAAGTGAAGACCGATGAGTCATTACACATAACTACAGTCGGAATCGAATTAAAGGGACCACTCTAACTTATATAAATTCATAGGTTAATTGTATAATATATATAGTTTTGGAGGTCGTGGGGACAAATAATGATTTGTCTTGTTGCTAAGCAGTGTCCCAATAGTAGAATGGTTGTTTTGTAGGAAAGTCAGTGTTTATAGTATTGTCGACGGCAAATCAAGATGCAAAATTCGTCACTGTACTGCAGGTTTTGCGATGGTCCTATTTTAATCCCGCCATATTCGCGTTTTCAATATCTTTTGAATAAATCCTATTCTTCGTGTATATGACTTTATGCTGCGGTTGCTACCCAAAAAAATTGAAATAAATATGGACATCATCATTAGTATTATTTTGTTTCCTCGCGAGTATTAATTGATGCATCTTTGGAACCTTATAGAAGAGAAAATATATAGGAAACTAGTCAGATAGCTATTCAACTAATTCAAGAGAGACTCTTATCTATTATCTAGATAATTTGATATTGAGACCTTTGTTACATTTAGATGCTTTGGTTTTGACTGTTGGGGATAAGAAAAATAGGACTTTTATTAATCTTTTCTAATTGTCTACAAGTTGTCAATTACCATAAAAACTGTGGGATCAATTTATTCGATGAGTGACATCAACATTGGGCAAGGTTTGCCTCTCCAAGTACAATGGAGTTGTTGGCCTTTCAATCGTCTATTCTACTTCTTGCAAGAGAAAATAATAAAGAAAGATTAACTGTATTTGATGATGATATTGTGATGGAGATAGTCAAAATTGTTTTATTAGTTTTTATATATGTTTAGTAACGACTTATTACTATCTTAGAGTTTTTATGCTTGGTTTTATTTGGATTTAAAAGCTTATTCATTTTACTACTAGACAAACATCATTTTCTTAAAACATGATGGTATAGAAGTTTTATTTTTATGTTTATAAGATTTATGTATGCATATTTGTATTAAGAGGTCATTAATTTATTGATCCACGATTAGACTGGACTGAGTGAGATTCCATAATATATGATTCTTGAAAAGTTACACGACTTTTTCTGTTTAGTGAGATTTCAAAATGATGAATCTAAAGAGCAAGAGAAAAAAAAAAACAAAGACATTATAGAGAAGATCAGAGAGTATAAATGAAACCATTATTGCCTACTAGATGAAGACATGACTAGGAAAATAAAAGAGATAAAGACATATATTATTTAAGAAGTTATAACTAGAAAACAAATATTCGTTAATACTATAAAAACAAATATTACGTCATAACTGGGTCTCACTTATGGTCTCACTGACACAGATCGGTCACAGTTTCACTTGTTCCTAGAACAAACATTAATATTCACATCGTTACTCTTTTTGACCATTCATCTACAAATTATCCTCCTTCTTCATCTGATATCAGTTTCAGTTATCTCTGGTTGGATTCAGTAAACCCCAATTTTGAATTCATATCTGTACAACTTTATTTATTTAAAACCAAATTAGTATAATTTTGTACCAATCAAGACCCATTCTAACATTTTGTACCAATAACACAACATTAGAGACCTGAAGTAATGATGATCAAAGAAGCCGAATATGATTAAGTTGGTTTATCTTTTCAGTGGCCAATTAAAAAATGAAGAGGTCTCGGTAGCTACAGGTACATCGATGTTTAACGATGAAGAGAACTTACCTGGTTAAAACCATATATGCGATGCGTTGTATTGTGTGTTCTATTTCAAATTTTTAATTTCTACCATCAACATCGAATCCAGAACCTGTCCAACCTCCTCTGCCTTTGTTCATGATTCCATGTCCTTTTCCCTTTCCTTGAATCTGCGGTTTCTTTTTCGCTTTTGATTCTCCTTCAGCTGTTGCTGGCTTCTGTCCATGTTCTCCGTTGTTACTTTCTTGTTTTTCATTGGCTGCTTGTGAGCTGGCTACTACAGATTTAGTCTCCGGTTCATGGACCTAAAGATGGATCACAAACAGAAATACTCAATATCTTTAATGCATCCACCAAAGTATTAGCCCTGATTTAGCAACGTAGTCATGCAGAAAGATAAACTAGAAGGTGAGATTGCTTTACTTGTTGAACAGAAGTAGATGATCTGTTTGGATTCAGGGCTTCTAGTCTTCTTTTCAATTCCTCAAGTCTTGCGTACTGTGTATTGCTGCTTTCTTGTACCTATTACGATTACAGTTTTAGAAGAAAAGATTTGTGATTTTCAATGCGGGAGAAAAAGGTGATTTCCATTATCAAAGATATGTACCAGACTGTTTAAATCCTCGCAAAGCCTCTGCTTGACTGCTTCTTCATCCTTGACAACTTTTGATGCTGCCTCATATGCCTTCAAAAAAAGGAAAAAGATGATTGAGATTAATTAACAATCTCTAGACTTCAAAGAGGTAGGGGCTACACAAACAGGAAACAGAAAATCTCTCAGTCCACCTAAAAGGCTAAAAACTAGCACTATGCCAAAACATGACAGAAGAAAACGTTGAGAAACACTAGTCAAGAAGAGATGATAAACCTTTCGGGCTTCATCTTCTTTCAACTTCGCAGCATGGATCTTTTCAGTACAGGCTTCGATTTTCTTTCTCAAGTGTTCCAGTGCTTAAAAGAAGAAGAAAATCAGTTAATCAGCAAGCATCCATGAGAGCAAACCAAAAACAAGCTTAAAAAACTGACACTTGCAATTTGCAAACCAACCTGCTTTCTTAGGTCCAGCGGTTAGTTTCATTTCAAAGGTGAGGTTTCCAAATTCCCTCTCGACATCCCGAATTTTCGAATAGTTCTCCTCAATATATCTACAAACATGAAGAAATCTCCATTAAAAAGGAAGTTTCATCTCTGAATAAGAGCTGAAGAAACAACTACTCTACATTCCAATTCTTAAATCATCTCTGTTCCAAAAGTCTCTTAAATCTCTTAAATCTCCTAATACAGATCCCAATCTTCTCTAGGAGACTAGAATCAATGATAAGAATCCATCAACGTTGAGTTCCAAAACCAAATCTCAGATCGCAACACGCACACTACATTCCTTACAATAGACAAATCGATCAAACGGAATCCAAAAATTTAGAAACGGACTACTTACTTCCTCAACTGAAGTTGCTCTTCCTCGATAATCTGGTTTCGATCAAAAACAACACAAATCGCGTTCAGTGAATACGAAATCACACGAACACTTGGTGAGATTATACAGAAGAACACATACATCCAGAGAGTAAATGCTAATTTACCTTCTCTGTGTAAGCAATAACAGGAGCTTCTCTCGCAAGACCATCGGGCCCGATCTCTGCCTTCAATTTTGGATCCGAAGCCATCATCTCCTCCTTCCTCTCTACTTCAAAAATCGATCGAACGAATGCTAATGAGTTCTTCTTCCTCGAATTCAAAAATCTGCAGGTACTTTACAACATTCCATGATTCACATTACGAATCAAATGACGTGATTTGCGTGTAATCTCACTCTCCGCTCTAATTCTGGATCGAGGATAGTGATGGAGAACGTGAGAATTATCGTTTCCCGGATTTTGACGGTGAAGATCAAGTTTAAAGTTCGTTAAGTTTTCACCAAAGACTCAACGTTCTCGTGCTTAACGCCGTCGATATATTTCGAAATGTCTGTTATACCCCCATTTAAGTTTGACTTCAAAATTGATGCTCGTGTCACGTGCTACTCACGTTCGGTTCACCACAATTATCGGTTTACGTTCCAGCGATTTTGTCGTTTTACGTACACAAGAGCGCGTGCCGTTCTTTGCCCAACAAAAAACGGCAAGCCGTTTACAGAGAATAAATCTTGTTTCTTGTAGAACCCAACTTTAACTTGACACCAAACTAAAAACACCCCAAACACTAAAAACTCTGGGAGATGAACAAACTAAAAAACACAAGATTCTTGAGTTCCTACAAATTCGGAAGAAAAAAAAAAAAATAGAAGACAAGATACAGAAAGAAACACACAAAGATACAGTGGTAAAGTTGATTCCCTCAAAAAGAGACTTTAGAGCATTTTCAGGAGCGAGCGGAAGAAGAGAGAAGGTCTTGAACAGCATTCATGGTAGGCATCGCCGGAATAGCTCCTCTCTCTGTCACTGTAATGGCTCCACAAGCGTTTGCGAACAGAAGCGCCTCTCTTAGTTTCTTCTCATCCTGCAAAACAAAATGTTCACAAACTCATTGATTCAAGTCATTTCAAGTCAAAAAACCCAAACAAGCTATATAAGGAAAATCCTAACAAGGTAAAAGGGAAGAGATAAGTAAGTACAGTGAGAAGTGTGAGATCAGAAGCTAAGCTGTTCAATAAACCGCTAACGAACGCATCTCCTGCACCTGTTGTATCAACCGCCTTCACTTTTACTCCACCAACTCTACCTTTAAACTCCTACAAGAATCAAATATAAAGCTTACAAGAATAAGTAAAAATCTGATAGGTTCCTGAAACAAGTGAGAGAACAAAAGAAAGCCCAAGCGAAACCTGAGTGTAGTATCTACATCCATTTGGTCCTTCCGAAACAACAAGAAGCTTAAGCTTGGGATGAAACAGCTTCTGCAACACCACATCGTCATCATAAGGGTCATCGCCACCTGTCAGGAATGTAATCTCATCCTCGCTAACCTGAAAATGTTTGTCAAATTGTAAGTGACTAGAAATGAGCTGATTCAGATATGATACTTCAACCTAAAAGAAAGATCATACCTTTATAACATCAGCTAAGTTCCAGATACTCATGATCTCTTTCCTTGCAGCTTCTTCTGATGACCACAAAGGCAATCTCAAATTCGGGTCATATGATAAGAGACTCCCTGAGGCTTTAGCGATTTTCATAGCTGCAAGCTGAGTGGAACGGCAAGGCTCTTCAATCAAACTGATTGATCCGTAATGAAAGATCTTGGCCTGTGATTTCAACAATGGAAAGTTCAAGTCTCATTGAAAATTGTGGATCAAAAGAGGTATTAAAATTTAAAAGATGTTACCTTTTGGATGAGGTTCTTGTCAAGCTCAGATTCCAAGAGAAGCATATCAGCACTCGGGTGTCTGAAGAAGAGAAACTCCCTCTCTCCATCAGCTCTTAGCGTGACGAAGGCGAGAGCAGTTCGTGCATTGTGGTCGAATCTCATCCCAGAGTTGTCGACGTTGTTTAGCCTTAGAATATCAGCTAACATTCTTCCAAACTCATCATCACCAACCTAAACAAATTTGGAAACTTAAAGATTGGATTTTTGGAACAAAGAAGGTCTCTGGTTTTGGGAAAAAGTTGAGACCTTTCCGATGAAAGCAGAGGAGCCACCGAGTCTAGAGACACCAACAGCTACATTCGCAGGTGCACCACCTGGGGCTTTCTTGAAAGCGGGTGCTTCAGCGAGTGACACACCTCCCACCGTTGGAACAAAATCGATCAACATTTCGCCGAAACAGACCACGAGCGTCTCTGAATCTCCTGTGTCGATCGTTAGGTTCTTGAGATTACCTGTTTACCAATCAGAAAATTCGAAATTCTCAGCTTTAAAGTTTCTCGATTTACGTTCTTAATCATACAGAGATCAAACAGAAAGAAACAGAGATCTATAGACTAAAAACCCAACAAGAGATATCATCAAAGATCAAAGCTTTGGAAGAAAACAAACGAACCCAGATAGTTAATTCCATGGAAACCGAAAACCCAATTCGAATCCAGCTAGATAAAGAGCGATTCACGGCGTGAAATCAAGAACAAAAGAAGAACAGAGGCGGTGCAAGAAAGATTTCGAACGGACCTGAGATGGCGTTCTGACCCATTATCGCGATTTTCAGAAGATCTTCAGATTCGAAAGACAAAGACGGAAACAGAGGGATCTACGAGGAACACAGAGAGAAAAGGAAACGGAGGAGTTTCCTAAGAGAAAGAGAGAGAGAGAGCGAGAAGAGAGGAGAAAGATTTGAAAATTCGTGTGCTTCTTTTTTTCGTTTTTTTGCTAATTGTTAGTAGAGATGAAGAGACGAAGTTGGTTATTTATTAGTAAGGACTCATGATGACGTCACAACAATGTTGTTTTCTTCCGGTCTGCTACAGAAAAAAAAACACACCAGTGCTCGTGTGACGACTGACGACGGTGTGAGTGTGAATTAAATCAATTAATAATGAAATTAATTTTTAATTTTTAAAGTTAATTTTTTTTTCGTATATGGAATGAAAGAAAAATGGTAAAATCTTATGCAACGTGATCTCCAAGGGAAACTTAAATGTTACTGGTTTTATTGGTTTTGAAATGTTAATCCAATACTTGTGTTTACTGTTTTGAATCGTTATATGGTTATTCTATAACGTATATTTATATAGTGAAACTAGCGTGCTTAATGTGGCATGAAACATGATTTGGATGTTTTCTGTTTTCTGTTTTTTTCCCCCGTAAACTCCGATTAGAGAGGAGCAACCTCGTTCTTTGAATGATATACAAACTTCCGTTCCTGATTTCTTTTTGTAGTTGTTGTTATGTCTCTGTTTATTTTCCTTTTTCAATTCGCATGAATGAAAATTATTAAGAGATGACAAAAACTTAATTAGAGATAATTACAATGAATTGTGGCCTTATTTCTTAGACTTGGAAAGGAAACGAATTATAAACACTTGGCTGCCGCCAGAGTTGACTTGTTGCAAAGTGAGGCAAAGTTGGTGCGAATTGATTCCGGTTCTTCCGGGTCCAATCTTTCGGCTTATTCACTTGAATTAGTTGAGGTCGAGTTTGGCCCAACAAGAGCAGGAGAAATCAACTCATCCACATTCGACACATATGGGAAATCTTATATATAGAAGAATGCTCTCCATTTAGCCTATCCACATCAGCAAATTTTTTATTAAATTGTATTTAAAAAATTGAATACATGATTATTCATATTTCTTTACAATAATCCAAAGAATTACATAAAATAAATTAAGAAAAATACACAAAAATCAATTAAGAAATATAAAGTATGTAATAATTTGGTATCAATTTTGTTTTGGGTTATTGCAATGAATATACACAGCTAATAATATAATTAAGTGTCCTTCTCTGACATCTTTTTCGACCACTATTCATCTACTATTCAAAAAAAAAGACACAATAAACCCTACCTATAGGCGCCTACAAGTGTTGCATACAAGGAAGTTCATGTGTCAGGTTCAAATATATCATGGTCCCACATTAGATTGGCGGTGCCTTTTTGCAAATCTTTCGCATGTGAACAAAAATCAATGTCCAGTGTTGCAGTGCTAATCACATAAGCTAGCAACAACGCATAACTTGATTATCATGGTAACAATACGACCACAGTAACAATTGCTGACTACTTGAGAGTGACGTTAGCATGTAAGGGTTTGGGTATGGGTTTGGGTTGAGTGTTTGGGTTTGGTTTAAAGTTTAGGGTTTGGGTTCACCAGTCCTTGACTAGGGTTTAGCTTATGCTGCTTAGGGTTTAGTTTATGGGATTTAGGGTTTAGGGTTTAGGGATGGGTTTGGGATTGGTTTTAGGGTTCACGAATCGTTCACTAGGGTTTACCTTATGCTGCTTAGGGTTTAGTGTTTGGGTTTAGGGTATATAATTAAGGGAACGCCCCCCTCTTTGAGACGTGACATGTGTGAACAAAAGACCATGCCCATGGTTGCCGTGGTAATCATGGTAATGAACATATGAAAAAAAACGAATAAGGTAATCATACATGTGTGCTAACAAATTCTTGTTTTCATGATAATCTATATCAATGCATCAATTCGTTACAATTAACATGCTTACAAATGCTTACTAGCTAACAGATAACAAACCAACCAAGTTTCATATGGTTACCACGCTAACAAATACTGATAACAACACTATCAGCTAATTTTCGAATTCACTTTATTATCCAGAGGAAAATAGCCGCATTTAATGCCTTGTCTTCTGGAGCAAAACACCAACATCTCACGCGCTTCAGCATATAGGGGCAAAATAGACAAAATCGTTCTCTGACATATGTATCGTTCTATTCTACACTATTACCGTTGTATTCTTCGTTTCAGATTCATCTGATGATATTGACTCAATTCACCTTTTTTTTTTAAATAGGAGTATCAATAGTATATTGAAATGTGTTTATTGACCAAAATTGTAGTATATATAGTATATAGTTACTTTATTGATCAAAATTTATATAGAGGATTTATTTTTTGTAAAACATTATAATGTGTTTAAGAGTTAAAAGATATATAATATTGTTTAGATAATACAGTTGAAAGCGAATAAGAAGTTAAAAGCAAGAAATATATTTTTTAAGGATTATGATATGTTTTTTTTAAAGTATAATTTAAATTTATAAATATAAAATTGTATATAAGAATCAACGATTTGATCAAACGTTAATCTACAGAAAATAAATATATATTTTATCATATTTCGAGTCAAAATGTGATTCTATACCATGTTTTAAGCTTTTTTGTTAAATTATAGTCCAATGAAAGTGAATAAGTGAAATATTTAAAATGTTAAATTTTTGAAAAAAGAACCAGAGATGAAGTATACTGTGAACATTTTTTAAAAGTAATATTGAACATCCTTAATGTGAATAATTGGATTAACTTAAAAATTAACCACTAAAAATAAATAATAAACCATCATAATTTAAATCAACAAAGATGGAAAAACACAATTATTTGTGTTCTATTCAACAACATCATCAGAAATTTAGTTGGCGAACAACTCTTTTTTCTGTTTTTGAAAAACTCTATCTCGTTTAATATTCAATCAAAACAAAATCACAACATTCAGCTAATTCTAAAGTGTTCAAAAAGTAAGCGTTTTCTCCAACTAATCGCCTAAAAATTGAATTCAGGGTGGGAACGTGGCGATTTTCTAAAATCCGACTAATAAGAAAAAATCGCTTGAAATTTTAAAAATGGGATCGGCCAAATGTTTGGTTTCTGAATTTTCTTTTACCCAATTGCAAATTATTTCGAAAATGGGGCCAACTAAAGAATGTGCTGCTATTTATTTTTGTTTTAGCTAAAACAAGACTATAATTGATAAGAATTACATGAGAAACAAATCGATTTGGGGATTCATAAACCCAAACAATAGTTTTTGGTACTAATTGTAAGAGTTTTGTCCTATAAAACACTATTTTTTTAACTAGTCTTGAAATATATAATTTTCATATTTATGTGTTATCTTATATAAAAAAAATTAATAAATTAAAAAATGTAATAAAAATTCCTGCCCGACTAATCTCCGTTTTTCCACAAAGAATGATCCTTCAAACATTAACTTTTATTTATTAATTTTGAACTTAAACAAATTATAAAAAAATTTTAGTCTAAGATCATCTCCAATGTATTCCCTTATTTTTATCCTTACTTTTAGTGTTCCCTTATAATAGTGTGATGTTTCTTTCCAATGTATTCCCTTATTTCTTACACTAAAAATAAATATTCTATGATATATTATAAATCAAAATTTATTATAAAAACTTTTTATTTATAAGTTTTACAAATTAGCCCCACTTATTTTATTCTTTGTGGAAAAATCCATAAATTAGTCTTTGGTTCTTTTAATAATTTTTGTGTTCTTAAAATTTTCAATAATTTACTATTTATCTAATTTTCTAAAGTTTTTTATATTTACTTTGTAATGAATAAAATAGGAATTTAATCCTTTTTATAATATAAATCATATCTTTTTTTAATATGATGTTTCATGATTAATTCTAGTAAAATAACTTTTTTATAATTTGTTTAAGTTCAAAATAAAAAAGTTAATTTTGAAGGAGCATTATGCAAATAAAAAAAATCAACATCAAATATAAGGGAGAAATAAAGTTATTTGAAGAAAAAAAATAGTGTTCCCTTATTTTGATGGCAAAAATGAGGGTAGATTGGAGATGAGTTTTACACTAAAATAGTGTTTAAGAGAAAATATAAAGATGGATTGGAAATGTTCTTAGGAGGAATGTAATAACTAATAATCCTATTCATGCCACCATGTACATAGTTGTCATTATTACGGTGTTTTGGACAACTAATGTACGTAAGGAAGGACAAACACACGAAGATACAACCGAAATTAACATACACCTTTTGTTTCTTTCTAAACAAATTCTCTATAATTAAGAAAACCAGTAATAGAGGTATTAGAGATTAGCTAGAGTAGTCTAGAAAGAGCCTGAGAAAAAGATTTAATACTACATTCCGCCTAAACGTGATATATTCCAAGGGCTAAAGTTGCATCTTTTTTCGTGTATCCTTTCTCCTGTTATTATTTGTAACTGACAAAGTGACAAGAGATCATTAAATGAAAAATTTCTCTAGATGGCAATAGAGAAGAGATGATAACTATGAAAATGGCAAAAAAAAAGTTATTTTAACAGCTAGTAACATGGATTATATTTTTTTTCAATATAAGGGATGTATGATTTTCTTTTCCCTTAATATGTTATATTTTTTGTTTTGTTTTTTATAAACATCCAATTTATCTAATGAATTTTAGTTTTCTTTAACTATTGGTTATACTTATATCTATTTATAGAAAGACTACATGAATATGTTTTGGAAGACACCAGCAACGAATAAAGCGTCATCCATCTAAACCTTTTGTTAGTATGTATTCTTTAAACTTCTGTTAGTATATGACTTCTTTCATCATTTTCTAATAGCTTAACAGAACAACTAACCATTAGGTAGTTCAAATTACAAATCTTGCCGCCATTTGGCAAACTGTGTGCCTTACAAAATCGAATGAAACATGTCTAATTTAATCACATAAGAGCATCAGGATATCGAGCTACAATTGAATACAGTGTGTTGAGTTAGTTTGTTTTTAAAAATGGTGACCAAGAATTTTTTTTTTCTATATTTATCTTACTCTGACTCACAGTCACACTCACACTCACTCTCATTCTCACACTCAGTCTCACTCTCACTCACACTCACTCTCACTATCATTTTCACTCTTACTTATACTCACTTTCATTCTCACACTCACTATCACTCTTACTCTTACTCTCACTCTCACTGTCATTCACTCTCTTACTTTCTCACTCACTCTCACTGCCACACTCACACACTAACTCTCACTCTCACTCTCGCACTCACTCTCACACTCACTTCACACTCTCACTCTCACACTCACTTCATACTCTCACTCTCACTCTCACACTTACTCTCTCACTCTCACTCTCTCACTCTCACACACTAACTCTAATGCTCACTCTCACTCCCACTTCCTCTCACTCACACACATACACACACTCTCACTCCCATACTCTCACACTCTCACTCCCATACTCTCACTCTCACTCTCAATCTCACTCTCACTCTCACACTCTCACTCTCACTCTCAATCCCACTTTCACTCTCTCACACTCACTCTCACTCTCAATCTCACTCACATTCATACTCTCACTAACAAAATTTAAGACGTTGTGTGTTCTTCACAAAGTTGCAGGAGCATGGAGAAGAAAAAGCATATGATCACAAATTAAGGAGAAAGTAGCCAAGACAAAGAGATTCTTAAGCTATTACGTTTACTATGGATTGAGCATTTTGCAGATGATAATTTCTAATTGGCCTAAAACCAATACAAAGCCATCCTTAGGCCATTGAATTGTTAATCTTCATCTCTTATCTTCTTAAATATCTACGTTTGACAAAAACATCAGATTGTCATATGAAAGACAGATGAAACATATAACTTGGTGATGCCTCCTCATCGAATCTTGTAATAGAAAGTCAACTATTACATATTGTGTAACAAAAAAAATCAAATACATGATACAGTCATTAAGCCGACCATCTAATCAAGCCAGACAATGCTGAGGAACCATCTTACCACGAGCAGAACCATCAACATTCTCGCACACGGCAGTGGAAGGACCACCCTCAACTCCGTTATGCTCAAGGTTAATGTCAATTAGCTCAACATTCTTGCAACGAAAGCTCTTGCTACATTGTAGATTCACTGCCACTTTGTTCTTCGACGTCCCATATATGTTTTTATACTTAATGTCCTTTATCTGAACGTGAGACGCTCCCTGAAAGAATACAAACACACAATTTTTTTCTCTTTAGTTATTGTTTCGTGTGATGAAAGAAAAAAAATAGACTTTGTTTCTTGTGTAGAAAGCTAACCGTCTTTTCACAAGGTGGGTAAGGACAATACTTCTGATCGATGTTGATTGGTTTTCCAACATTAATCATCTGAATATTCTCGAACACAAAGTTAGAAGCGACGATCTTTGCAGCAGAAGATTCCCAAGTCTTGATCCGAATACCATCGCTTGTGCCGTTAAAGACTGTGTCACGTACTGTTATGCCGTTAACGTCTTTCTCGCCTTTGTTCTTCCCTAAGCTTCCGACACTAATCCCATGTCCAGGACCACACTTGACGTTAGAGATATCCATGTTTGAGGTTCCAGAAAGAATGGCGATACAGTCGTCTCCAGTACCAATGTTTGTGTTAGAGATGCGAATGTTGCTACAGAAACCGAACTTGATACCGTCGGTGTTTGGGCTATCGCCGGGAGCTGTTACGGTGACGCCAGTAATGTTGAAGTGATGGACGGAGAAGAAGTTAAGTGTCCCATTTTGCTGTTGAGTGATGTTATCCCATCGATTCTTGAATTGTTCACGAATGCAAATCCCATGTTCTATTAAAAAATCAAGTTTATACAAGATTAGCTAGACTTGAATTTAAAAAGTCCCATGGTCAATTTTGTAATACGATTTAAATGCAAATAATAATCATTAAAGCAATATATAAAAGATTAAGAAATGATGGTACCATAGCTAGTTTAGGACAATTGGTGTTTTTGTGGCAGTCATTGAGTGGCCAAGATTGCTTCCCTTGACCATCGAGTGTACCGGTACCGGAGATATATAGATTGTTGATGTATCTGAAGTTGATCCAAGTGTCCTGCTTAATATCTCTAGGGTTTGAAGGAGCCAATAAAGTTCCATCGATGACGAATTCAATCTGATTTTTGCATGGCCCACAAACTCTACACCACCGAGATAGAATGTTCCTTTTGGTACGTAGATTTTACTACTTCCACCTTTGCGCATGCGCTTTTCCATACATTTGTGAACACCTAAAACATCGTATATGCATTAAGAGCGAGACTCAAGATAGGTTAGTTATTAAACAAAATTGAGTTGAGCTTAACTTTAGATATGCGGAAACAAATATATAATAAACAAAAAATATATTAAAAAAAAACTAAATAGAAAATTGTCATGTACATACATTGGCGTTATCAGTTTTTCCGTCAGATTTAGCACCATAGCGTCGGACGTTGAAAACCTTTGGCGTGACAGTGGACGACTTGCAACGGTGACGAACAAGAAGACAAACACAAAGCCTTAAACGCAGAAGCAATGGCCATTTTTTATATTGTTATGGTAATTGGCAAAGAGCAAAGTGTGTTATTTGTAAATACTTTTTCAAGACAAATGAAGACACGATGAGTATTGTTGGCCATTTTATCTGCTTATATAGAGCTAAGTTCCCATGAACTGTTAGAAGGAATCTAAATAACAAGAAATTTTTTTTGTTACCAATTATCGGCTAAGATTGGGTTGTTTCTTTGTAATAAATTTGATTGGTTAATATCTTGTTATATATGGATGTTTTTCGAATGTATATTGTTTCTTTTTGCTCCTTCTTTTAAACAGAGTCTTAATTTGGTGAAATGCCAATTAGATTCATTGAAAAATAAACTCGTTTCGGTTCATGCTTTGTTTTTGAAAAATCTCCATTTAATATAAGATGAAAACAAAGCTAAATCATTGTCTCAAAATTAAATATAGTTTTTTTTATTTGTGTTAAGGTTGTTTAAGGAGGTCATGTAATAACTAATAACCCTATTCATGCCACCATGTACGTAGTTACTATTATTGCATTCTTTTGAACAACTCATGTTATGTAACAACAAACCCAAAGATACAGCCCAAATTAACATCATTTCTAGAGAAATTAATAAAATCATTAATTAGAGGTATTGGAGACTAGCTAGAGTAGTCAAGAAAGCACTTGAGAGAAAGATATAATGCAACACACCTAAACGGTGACATATCAATTTCTAAAATCTTTGTTTTCTTTTCTTTTCTTAAGTTTGTATTGGATCCGAGAGTTCAAGGGAGATTCCGAATTGTTCATCAATAGAGAAGTTTTCATTCATCTTTTATCTCTTTATAATACTCTCATAATGCTTTCAATTATATATTGCTTGTTTATTTGCATTATGGCTGAGTAGATCCTTTGCTGGGCTAATGGTAAATAAATGAGTTCATGAATTGTTAACTTTAATCTTGTGAATTGGGATAATCTATTGGATTCTTCACCTTTACTTGTGCACATTGCCGTTTACTTTTCTGATCATGTGCATCGGATCTTTGGCTTAATATACTCTGCAAAAGCTTGTATATTGCCGGAAATAGTATTTGATGAGCAATAGGTTACAAGCATAGAAAGTTGAGTTGTAGGCTATTGTGAACAATTGAATCTTGAACGTTTTAATGCATTTTTACAGCTTGTAATAACCATCGAAATTTGAGTCTTTTAGGTTGTTTAAACATAGTGGTTGGAGCTACAAAAGTGGGAAAGCTATACCTTAGTGATTTGAGTTCAAGAACAGTTTATAATGTATCTCTTTCACTTGATTATTTGTTAATGATTTATGTTGCTTTGCGATTTGCCTAATGCCTAGTATTTTCCTTATTGTTTACATCTCATTTACTTACTTGCATTGTTTTCTTTTGCTTTGTTTACTTCTCATACACAACCAACTCATATTTCTGTTCTAAATTGATTAGTGTGCATAAATAACGAGCCAAAGAATTGGTATGAATCTAAGGAATAGAAAGAATGGAAACTCGCTTGTATAGTTGAGATATGATCAATCGAGAAGAATAATGTTTGGACGCATGGAACTGCCGTTTGAAGTTAAACCAATAGGTTTAAAGTGGGTGTTTAAGCTCAAAAGAAACTCCGATGGAAGTATAAAAAAACACAAGGCTCATTTGGTCGCAAAAGGATATGTGCAAAATCATGGAGTTGATTTTGAGGAGGTCTTTGCTCCAGTCGCCCGGTTAGAAACAATACGACTTCTGATTTGGAAAGTTTCAAACTAAAATCCATTGGAGAATGTTTTCTTATATGATTAGAATTTGTAGCATCTATTGTATGTGGCTATATAAGGAGTGTTTCTAATGAGCTTAGGATTAAAGAGTGTTTTCATATATGATTATAATTTGTATGTAGCTATATAAGGAGATGTCAATGTGTGACATAACTTATGAGTTTAGATTCCAGAGATTGAGAGCTAAAGTTTTGATGTTCTTAATAAAGAAAGAGTCTTTATATTTTGGTGTTCTTCTTCATCTCTAAATTCGATAATATGATTATGAGAAATATCAATATTGTTTGTAATGTATTTGTGTATTTAGGAAGAAAAGAATAGTAATTCCGTATCAATAAAAATCCATTAATGTATATGACGCGATTTGGCCACTAGAATATTGATCTTTCATATTTATTTGACTTATTTTCTTCTCTTTTATTATACTAATTGTCATAGTAACATGTATTAATATATTATTTTTAACAGGAATTTGAAAAAATATATAAAACAAAAATTCAATTGATCTACAGAAATTAAAATTTAACGATTTCAGTTTTATCAAATTAAATTATAGATTTTTATGATATTTACGAAACGAGATGGGATGGGACATGAAGGAACATGACGGAAATGAACGAGATAGGACGGGACAAGACGAGAAGGAATGGGACAGGACGGAGCAAGACAAGAAGTAATGGTCAAGATGGAAAGGAACATGATGTAAGGGGAAAGAACGAGACAAAATGGGATGAAACGGGACATAACAGAATAAATGGGAAGGAATAGAACATGACTTTTTTTTGTGTGGACAGGAGATATTCTTAAAACGGTTCAGAAATACAAAACGGTGGAATATAGTTTACACAATGTACGTTGTAGGGAAGATCTCGAGCACTCCGTGCTAGCCTATCCGCCCTCGTATTCTTGGTGCATGGGATATGGGTGATGGAACAGTATGAGAACGCTTTCCTGCACTTATCTATTTCTTCTAGTAGTATAGCGAATACTGGTCACTTATTCCCACAATTTTTATTTAATTACTATTCATATGATATTTTTGAAACACAAATTTAAATTACAAAACTTAATATCTTCAAATTTTATTTTAAACACCTTAGTAATATTGATTTAAAAATTTCGCACATGGATCATCCCTTAATAAATTAATAAATCAGTTACATTTGAATAAAGTCTTACATAAAAAACTTTCTTGCTCGCTATTATCTTCCAATCAGCTAGAGTAGCTCAGTTGGTTAGAGCGTGTGGCTGTTAACCACAAGGTCAGAGGTTCAACCCCTCTCTTTAGCGTTATATGTACATTTATTCTTTTATTTTTGTTCCTTTTTTAGAAACCTCTTTCCTTAAGTGATTTCTTAATAAATGTTTTTAAATTAATAATGTTAGTGGAAGCCCCCTTTGGCCCAATGGTTTGGTTAAGGGTTCATTAATGCTTCTACACAAGGAGATATGTAGTCCAAATTCCAGATAATGCGATTTATTGTCAATTATGCAGATTATTGAAGATATGTTTGCAGGAGGCTCGAGACTGGCAGTCGAGGTACACCAGAAGACGGAATTGTTCGTTGCAGAATATTCATTGTAACATTTCTATTAATTTGTGACAGTCTGATAAAAAAAATTAATAATGTTAGGACTTCCTAATTTTATTCCAGATAATGCGATTTATTGTCAATTATGCAGATTATTGAAGATATGTTTGCAGGAGGCTCGAGACTGGCAGTCGAGGTACACCAGAAGACGGAATTGTTCGTTGCAGAATATTCATTGTAACATTTCTATTAATTTGTGACAGTCTGATAAAAAAAATTAATAATGTTAGGACTTCCTAATTTTATTATATAATTTATAGATAAATTAATAATTTATAGAGATATTTTTTGGGTTGATGTCTTAATGTTCATGAAGAGACATTAAACAATTGTTTTAGAACTGTAAAATTTGTTCACAAAATTTCGTATCGATAAATTTGGAATATGAGAAACAATATTCATGAACTTGAAACAACAATAAAATCATATTTTACTAAATTTATTTACACTATACACTTAGTTTTTGTTTTGATGAACATAATGTAAAATTTATTCAAAATTAAAAACCAAAACTTTGTACAACAAGTGTGAGTAGTAGATGATAGATTAGGATTGTCCAGACCATAGTATAGCACCCTTTCAACAAACTCTTGCTGAATGCGTGCCAAACTTCTGCAGAATATCCAAAAGAGAAGAAAAGGTGATCTTTTGTCCCCAATGGAGCTTGACAGAGGATACACGCGGTTTAATCTGGGGTCCAAATTTGCATTATCGCAGGTGGATAAACGATTGTGTATAGCCAGCCATACACAAAATGAGTCTTTTGGCGTAGAGTGAGTGAACCAGACCCCTCGATACACATAGTTTTCTACTCCATCTTCTCTAATTAAAAGCCACATGTTCTTTGAATTAAAATCTGATTTGTAGTCATTATCATTTTGAAAATGCAAGAGATACTGATGTAGTAGTAGATTACAAAGTGGGACAAGGGTTTCTCTACAAAGAAAAATATATTACTAGAAACTTCTTTAAGACAACTTACAAATATGTTCTTAAACGAAATCAATAAGCTCAAGACGCACTTAGTTTGCTATTCTAACCCCCACGTTCTAGATCTATACACAATCTTCGAACCTCTCAAACCTTAGCCCCCTTTATCCTAGCTTTCTTACAATAAATCTAAATCCAAATATACTAAAGCTCTCAAGTTTGTGATGACCGTATACAAACAGCCACAACACCCTATTTATACTCAATAGGTGTGCCTAGAAACCCCACAAGGTTTTGAGTCTTGGTGATTACTCCAAATCTCCAAGAGAATATTTCTTTCCTTATTTTTCTCTTTAGGAAAAGGAAATATTCTTTTGATCACTCCAAATCTCCTAAGCCAGCTCAGTTACCAGCTTCCCTGTACTCGTCCTTAGCCTCTCCAAACCCATATCCAAGTCGGCCCCTTTGATTCTTTAAGCCCGTTTGCACAGCTGATCGCGGGATCAGGTCTTCCCTTTTCCTATCCCTGATTCTGCAAGTGCACAGATCAAAAGTAAAACGGGTATCGAACACAAGGAGCAGATAAGTACACTTCGAGTATTGCAAGTCTAATATAGCTAGAAAACAAGTATGATTTAGGGTTTTGATTGTGTAACAAGTAATCAAACAGCAGATTAAACGGTTTATGAAAATCAATAAAGGGAAACGCTAGGCAATGAGAAACTCGCAGAGATTCAAGGTTAACAAGATATTAGAAGGTTTGCTAGGGTTTGCGCTATCTAGAACTCAGGTCACGATTGTATGATCTTTCCACTGTCGAGGCTCCGACCCCTTTGTTAATCTACCTAGTCGCTAAACTTTTGGTATGTCCCTAGGTGATTAAATCAAGCAATAGTTCGTTCAAGACCCAATTGTTCACAACCCCGCATAGATCAACTTTCGCAGTCTATGAAGTTTTGCTCACCAAATACTTAGTTCAGGTTATATAGCAAGCTTTTGGAGAGTATATGAAACCTAAGATCTGATGCTAGTTGATCAGAAAAGCAAGCAGCAATGAATTCAAGCAGAGGCGAAGATGCGAATATAAACCCTAGTGACTTCTAACAACCTATCAAACCATGAACTCTTTGATAGATCTCACAACCTAACTAGTGAATTACTCAGACATGATCAAAGCAAAACACAAAGAGATGAAGAAAACATGATTGCAATAAAACTCAAAGTATGAAATCGAAATACAAGGCGGCTCTCTTTCACAAGAGGCTAAAAAGCTATATATATAGTGCTAGGTCTTTTGAGGCGGCTTAGGGTTAAGCCGGGCCTTGAAAATATGAAATCGGGCTTCAAAACGGGCTTCGGGTCGACCGCGGCGTTGGGACGGTCGGTCGGGACATCGGGTCGTCGTGGCCGAGTCGGAACGGTCGTGGCCGGATGGATTCACGGTCGGCCGGCGTGGTCGAGCGGATGAGATTTGGCCGATGGTTTCTCGGCCGGACGTGGGACGTTCTTTCCCGGCTCGGACGGATGCATCGGCCGTGGTACGCGAGGGTTGCGCGGCCGCGAGGCTTGTTCCCGGCTCGCGCGGCATGGTCGTGCGCGGTGTGGCGTGACGGTTGTGCTTGGCCGACCGCGGGACAATGTTTCCCGGGTCGTGTTGCGTGATCGGCCGGTCGGTTTGAACTTTGGCCGAGACTTCAGACGGACGGATGTGATTGGCCGAGCGCGGAAACATGTTCCTCGGCCAGCCGGACTGCGCGGTTGGGCGCTGATTCTCGATAGAGCCGTCTGGACAGTCTTCACTCTTTTGGTTATAACTCCTTTTCTACTCATCCAAATTAGGCCGTTCCAGTTGCGTTGGAAAGTTAACTCAATCAGAGCACGCAGGGAACTGGTCTTGATGAAATCCATTGAGTAGATCTTTTTCTGGGCCCTCTTAAAGTTGGTGCTTGTGCATGGAGCGGCTTGAAGTGCAAATCCTATGGTTTTGCTCCAAAATGCATCATTTCACCTGTTTAGACTCTAGACACTATAAACACAGTAAAACTACCTTTTTAGATAGAAAACCTGCCAAAAACCATTAGAAAACAATGCTAAAACAGTATAAAAAGCATGTAAAATAGAGGTATATCAACTCCCCCAGACTTAGATCTTTGCTTGTCCTCAAGCAAAAAGAATCTAAATCCGTGAAAGAGGTTTGAAAACGTGGAAACTCCCTTGCTCTTTTGAATATCCTGTGAAAGGTTCCTTTCCTGTATTCCACTAAGAACATAGGCAACATAAGGTTAGCTTCACATACACCCTGCAAGTTTAGCGAACAATACCAACCCAACTAGTCTCATCCAGCAATCCAAACTCTCTATTGCTAACCTCTTGCATAAATTTAAAGCGTGAATTCTTTATCAAGGGGACATCGATCAATTGAACTTGTTCTTACCCACTTGATCTTCTCCAAGATTGTCTTTAAGTGCAATGAGTTCTTTTCCTCTCTCTTTCTCACATCAGAACTTTGAAAGGTCAATTTCTCCCTACTTTTCTAGGGTATCATTTTATTTTTTCTATTGACCCTTCTTTCAACCACAGGATAAGTCTTTAGCTTGTTCCTTGTTTGACTAAGGTATTCCATAAGACATGAAGGTACAGACATATGCATTCCTCATGCTTACTTGTTTTCCTTGTGCTCTTTGAGCTTTTTCTCATAAACATTACTTACCATTTGGGATGGGAGAGAGAGGAGAACTCTTTAAAGATTAGACAAATCTCATTGAAAATCAAGCAAGGAACTGTCGACATGTATGCCAACCCCCTTGACAAGAGTATTAAGATTGATTAAGGGTGAGGTTAACTCTAGATTGCTTGGTTACCTTAGAAATTTTGCTGAGCTAGCATGTCGATCCACTGTAAGAGCTTCTGTTAGGCTTGTGCCTTTAGCTGGTTTCTGCTCTAGGGTCATGGATTGTTAGCACAACACTCTCAATTCTCAAAGCAAGTTCATAACTTCCGGACTGGTTTTTGACTCAATAAAACTTTTTGAAAAACATGAAACAAAGTGAATAAAACATAAGAAAAGAAAGAAAAATGCATTAGTAACACAATAAAACTCCCCCCAGACTTAACTTGCACCGTCCCGGTGAAAGCAAATCACATTAAGGTGAGAGGTAATATTCAAAATAAAAGAAAATTAAAGAAAGAAAATGAAAAGAAATGACCTTCAATGGGTTGCCTCCCATTCAGCGCTTTGTTTAAAGTCATTAGCTTGACTGTATGGCACTTCCTTAAGGATCTGGTGGATCGCCAAGAGCCAGTGTGGTCTCCTGTGGTATGGTGGTGGAGGCTAGGTAAGGTTTTAACCTTTGTCCATTGACTGTAAAGTCTCCTCCCATTGGGTCCCATACACCACTGCTCCATAGGGGCGAACTTCTTTAATCCTGAATGGTCCTGACCATCTTGAGCGAAGCTTTCCTGGAAAGAGTTTCAACCTTGAGTTGAATAGTAGAACTTGGTCGTTTGGCGCGAAGTTCTTTGGGATGATCTTGCGGTCATGGAAAGCTTTGGTTCTCTCCTTATAGATCTTTGAATTCTCATAAGCCAGATGCCTAATCTCATCAAGCTCATTTAGCTGAATCAATCTTCTTTCTCCTGCTGTCTTTAGGTTGAAGTTCAACTCCTTAATAGCCCAAGCTGCTTTGTACTCCATCTCCACAGGTAAATGACATGCTTTACCATAAACAAGATGAAAGGGGGTGGTACCAAGTGGTGTTTTGAAGGCAGTGCGGTATGCCCATAGAGCATCATCTAGTTTGGCACTCCAATCCTTTCTTGTCTTGCCTGTTGTCTTCTGAAGTATGCTCTTGAGTTCTCTGTTTGAGATCTCAACTTGTCCACTAGTTTGAGGGTGGTAAGGAGAGGCAACTTTATGAGTGACTCCATGCTTCTTCAAAAGGTTGGCAAAGATTCTGTTTATGAAATGTGAACCTCCATCACTTATGACTATCCTAGGCACTCCAAACCTTGGAAAAATGATGGATTTAAACATCTTGATGACCACTTGTGCATCATTAGTAGGGCTGGCAATGGCTTCCACCCATTTGGAGACATAATCAACTGCCACTAGAATGTATTGGTCACCAAAAGAGGTTGGGAAGGGTCCCATAAAGTCAATGCCCCAAACATCAAAAACTTCAACTTCTAGTATAAAGTTCTGCGGCATCTCATTCCTCTTGCTTATATTTCCCATTCTTTGGCAAGCATCACATCTTGATATGAATGCATGAGCATCCTTAAACATTGTTGGCCACCAAAATCCAGCTTGTAGGACCTTGGATACTGTCTTGTAAGTGGCAAAGTGCCCTGCATAACTAGAACTATGACAAGCAAACAATATTCCTTCTACTTCTTCCTCTGGTATGCATCTTCTAAACATTCCATCTGAACATTTCTTGTATAAGTAAGGTTCATCCCAGTAGTACCTTCTTACAGTGTTTATTATTTTATCGAGTATTATTTTATAGAGGTTCTACTGTAATACAATAATATAAATCCCCGCGCGAAGCGCAGGTCATCCCTAGTTTAGTTATATATGCCAAATTCTTATTTATTGATTTATATTGTTATTGGCATCATATATTTATATACATATATAAGTTTCAAAAATATTTATATTATTGGATTTTGTTAACTTTTAGTTTACACTGACCCGACTAGCGGGAACAAAAATTATTCTATAGTAACTACATATAGAGGTTCTACTGTATAGAGGACTACATCTTGCTAGCTCAAGAAGAAGGAGAGAAATTGCTGTTATGTCTAAACAATGAGCCATGGAATTTTCACGAGGCAAAGGAATTGAGAGAATGGATGCTTGTGTGTGAAGATGAGATTCGATTCATCATGAAGAATCACACTTGGGTTCTTGTAGATCTCCCAGCTGGAGCTAAAGTGATTGGCTTAAAGTGTATCTTCAAACTTAAGCGAAACTATGATGGCAGTATCCACAAACACAAAGTTAGTCTTGTCGCAAAAGGATATGCGCAACAACATGGGGTCGATTATGATGAAGTGTTTTCGCGAGTAGCTCGTTTAGAAACAATACGCCTTCTGATCAGTCTCGCAGCATCAAGGGGTTGGGAGATACATCACCTTGATGTCAAAACAGCCTTTCTTCATGGAGAGTTACAAGAAGTAGTCTATGTCACACAGCCAGAAGGATTTGAAGAAAAAGGTTGTGAAGGAAAATTTTGTAAGCTAAACAAAGCTTTTTATTGCTTGAAACAAGCACAAAGGGTGTGGAGCATCAATCTAAAACATATTTTCAAGGAGTTGCGGTTTACAAAGTGTACAAAAGAGCCAACAGTCTATCAAAGAGAAGTGAGTGGAAATCTTTTGCTTGTAGCGGTCTATGTAGATGGCCTTCTCGTGACATGAACAAGCCTAAACGACATTGAAAAATTCAAAAGAGAGATGGGATTGAAATTTGAGATGAGTGATCTTGGAAGGTTAACATACTATTTGGGGATCAAGGTGTACCAACATGAAGGAGGTATAACGCTAAAACAAGAACGTTATGCTTTGAAGATTCTTGAAGAATCTGGGCTGAGTGACTTTAACTTGGTTTATGTACCAATTGAGTCTAGTTTAAAGTTGGCCAAATCAGAAGAAGAAAAGGATATTGATGCTACGAGCTATAGAAAGAATGTGGGATGTTTTTGCTATTTGCTCCATACAAGACCGGACCTATCTTTTTGTGTTGGGGGTACTAAGCTGGTATATGCAAAACCTTCAATTATCTCATGGAACAGCAATGAAGCAATGCTTAAGGTATCTACAGGGTACAACATCATTGGGTTTAGTGTTTGAGAAATCAGCATCAAAGATACCAAAGCTTGTAGGCTAAGCGATAGCAGTCATAACGTTGATCCTGATGGGAAAAGTACAACATGTCATATATTCTACATTGGAGGAAGTCCAATCTCTTGATGTTCACAGAAACAAGAGATTGTTGCATTGTCATCGTGTGAGGCAGAATTCATGGCAGGAACTGAGGCGGGGAAGCAGGCAATCTGGCTTCAAGACTTCATTAGTGAAGTCACTGGATCACCATGCCAAAGGGTCGTTATACGCATAGATAACCAGTCAGCGATTGCTCTTACTAAGAACCTGGTCTTTCATGGTGGAAGTAAACATATCCATACCAGGTATTACTTCATAAGGGAATGTGTTGAGAATGGTCAAGTGGAAGTAGAACAGGTTCCTGGTAATGAACAAAAGGCGGACATCCTTACTAAGGAGCTTGGAAGGATCAAGTTCAAAGAGATGAGAGATCTCATTGGAGTGCGAGAGATTACAAGAAATGCTTTTCAAGCTTAAGGGGGAGAATGTTGGAGTAAGCTTGAGCTACAAGTTGGTGTCCTAATCCTATCAAACTATGGATTCCTAAAGAGTTTAGGAAAGTCGTTTAGGAGATATCTAATAGGATTAGGAGATATGTTTGATTATGTAAGGAGATACTAAAGTGTGGTATAACTTATGAGTTTAAGAGTGAGAGATTGAGAGCTTAAGTTTTAAGTTATTTTCTTAAGCTAATAAAGAGAGTTATTCTACAATCTTGTGTTCTTATTCTTTGTGTTCTATTCAACAACATCATCACAAATTTAGTTGGCGAACAACTCTTTTTTTTTTTCTTTTTGAAAAACTCTATCTCGTTTAATATTCAATCAAAACAAAATCACAACATTCAGCTAATTCTAATGTGTTCAAAAAGTAAGTGTTTTTTCCAACTAATCGCCTAAAAATTGAATTCAGGGTGGGAACGTGGCGATTTTCTAAAATCTGACTAATAAGAAAAAATCGCTAGAAATTTTAAAAATGGGATCGGCCAAATGTTTGGTTTCTGAATTTTCTTTTGCCCAATTGCAAATTATTTCGAAAATGGGGTCAACTAAAGAATGTCCTTGCTATTTATTTTTGTTTTAGCTAAAACAAGACTATAATTGATAACAATTACATGAGAAAAAAAATCGATTTGGGGATTCATAAACCCAAACAATAATTTTTGTTACTAATTGTAAGAGTTTTGTCCTATAAAACACTAATTTTTTTTTAACTAATCTTGAAATATATAATCTTCATATTTATGTGTTATCTTATATATAAAAAAATTATTAAATTAAAAAATATAATAAAAATTCCTACCGACTAATCTCCAATTTATTTCTGATTTTTGAAAAATCGAAAATTCTAAATCCACCGCCCGATCTTTCTTGGAGTAAAACAACAAAACTATACTAACAATTATGAAATATATCTCCACCTTTATAAAATTTTAAAAGGTTTGCCCTCCATATTTTGCTGTTTAATTTCTAGTTGATTACAGTCCGAACGACGCAAAAGAAAACCCCAATAGACGTATTTTATCTTGCATAAGATCATGCCACTCCATAAGTTACCAAAATCTCTTTCTGCATATTATAGGGAGGTAAAAAAAAAAAAAAAAGTGTTTTGTAACTATTGTTTATCTTATACGACACTGTCTTGTAGAAGAAGATCAGATTCATGTGCCTAACCACAAGTCCCAAAAATATGTTTCCAGTTTCCACATGAGATCTTTGATTTTTGGAACATAAAAACCTTATAATATATACTCTGTCATTCTGACGTCATTGACTGTAGTAGAGAAGTATATAGCATCGAATCTATAAACAGTCAATGACGTGGATCCTCGAAACGTAGGTTCATGAAAAGATAAGTGAAGCAAAGTACATGTGGCAGTCATGGACTTGACTTGAGATCAACACATGAACAGTATCTTCTTTTACTTTCTCTTTTCCCACAGATCTTCTTCATTCCCTCTCTAAACTCACAATTGAATTCGACTTTGACTCTCAGCCAACAAATGACGTCGACTTGTGCCAGATTCGACACCCTATTTCTACTCTCTCGTTTCACCGCCGCCAAATCATCGCCGTGGTTTTCTTCTCTTCTCTCTTCCGGAATTCAGTTTAGAACCAAGCCGAATTCTCGTTTGCAATCGATCGTAGCTTCATCGTCTTCCTCTTCATCGTCTGGGGCTATCATTACCGGAACTGAAAGCATTGAGGTTATGAATCAATTCCGTAGCTGCTTGTCTAAAAATTTGATTTTTTTTTCTAAGTCGTTGTTTCGTGTTTTGTACAGATTAAATCGTTGCCGACGAAGCCCATTGAAGGGCAGAAGACTGGAACAAGCGGGCTCAGGAAGAAGGTACTATTTGCTTATATCAATCAGTTTCTTCTTTTTTCTCCATTATTGTGATCATGATGTTACTCTTCATACAGGTGAAAGTTTTCAAGCAAGAGAATTACCTAGCCAACTGGATCCAGGTTCTGGTTGCAATTCAGAAAGTTTGTATTATTTTTTTTCCATGTAAAGTGGTAAATAAAGTGTAATCTTTGATGTGGGTGTAGGCATTGTTCAATTCATTGCCGGAGGAGGACTATAAGAAGGCGACTTTAGTTTTAGGAGGTGATGGTCGTTACTTCAACAAAGAGGCTGCACAGGTTATTACTTTCAGTTTCATTCTCACACATTGAAATTCAAACCCTTAATTCTACTCAAATTTTAGTTTCCTTGCAGATCATTATCAAAATTGCGGCTGGGAATGGAGTTGGGAAGATTTTAGTTGGAAAGTAAGTCTCTTTAGCTTTTTAAAGTTTCATTTTTTTCACTAGAGTGGTGTTGTTGAGTTCTTGTGTCAGTTCCTCTTTGTGTTTCTATTACTTATCAGTTGATGAAAAAACCCAAATACTTGTATTAGGGAAGGCATTTTGTCAACCCCAGCGGTTTCCGCTGTAATCAGGAAGAGAAAGGCAAGCTCTTTTCTTCTTAACAAGCTCAACATCTTTTCTCCATAGCTCATATTGATCGATTATTCACTCACAGGCAAATGGAGGATTTATTATGAGTGCAAGTCACAACCCTGGTGGACCTGATTATGACTGGGGTATCAAGGTGACATCATTTGTTTCCTCTAACCTTAATATCTCTGAAAAGTGTTAAAGCTTGATCTTGAACTTTGTTGGTTTGCCAGTTCAATTACAGCAGTGGCCAGCCGGCTCCTGAATCGATTACTGACAAGATTTATGGAAATACACTTTCAGTAAGTATTTAGGGATCACTGAAAGAGAATTGGTCAAAAATGTTTTTTTTTTTTTTTGTATAAAGGTCTCTCATTTCTGGTACATATTATTAGATCTCTGAGATTAAGGTGGCAGAGATACCAGACACTGATCTTTCTCATGTTGGAGTTGCAAAATATGGGAGTTTCAGTGTGGAAGTTATAGATGCCGTTTCCGACTACTTGGAACTCATGGAGGTAAGATTATATATATATACTCACATGCTTCATCTCTTCTTTTTCTTATGATATTTGGTCAGAGATATCTCCATTGTCTTCTGTACAGGATGTGTTCGACTTTGATCTCATCAGAGGTCTTCTTTCAAGATCAGATTTTGGGTATCTTCTTTACATCTACAGCCAAACTGGCTAGAAGCTATTTTTATGTCTTCTCTTTTAGGTGTTGATGATCCTATTATTTGCCTTGCCTCTAGGTTCATGTTTGATGCCATGCATGCTGTTACTGGTGCTTATGCGAAACCCATTTTTGTCGATAATCTTGGAGCCAAACCGGTATGTACTTGGAGATTTAAGATAAATGTTACATTTATTGTCTTGAACTTGTGTTGACATTTCATGTTTTGTAGGATTCGATTTCCAACGGAGTTCCCCTGGAAGATTTTGGGCATGGCCATCCAGATCCTAACTTGACGTAAGAAACAAACTCACTTAGTTTCACCATACTCACTTAGTAGTAAAACCTTGTTACATATGTATATAGATATGCAAAGGATTTGGTTGATGTCATGTATCGTGACGATGGACCTGACTTCGGAGCAGCAAGTGATGGTAAGATTGTGGACAGATATCTTCCAAATCTTCTTGTTCATGAATGATATTGTTCTTTTTTTTTTTCTTTTTTTTTCTGACAGGCGATGGTGACAGAAATATGGTTTTGGGAAACAAATTCTTTGTCACTCCTTCAGACTCTGTTGCAATCATTGCAGCCAATGCACAAGAAGCAATTCCATATTTCCGTGATGGTCCTAAGGTGCAGAAACTGTATTTTGTTTTAGATACCAATCATTTGCTTGTGCCATTTTAAAGTTGATGGATGTCAAATCTTGTTCTCAGGGGTTAGCACGTTCGATGCCAACAAGTGGTGCTCTTGATCGTGTTGCTCACAAGTTGAAGCTTCCTTTCTTCGAGGTTAACTCTCTTTTTTTTTTTTTTTTTTTTTTTTTTTTTTTTTTATTCATCAACCAGATAATTTGTTCTTGACAAGCTCACAAGTTGTATTTTCTAGGTTCCCACCGGATGGAAATTTTTTGGTAATCTTATGGATGCTGGAAAATTGTCAATCTGTGGAGAAGAGAGCTTTGGCACAGGCTCTGATCACATCCGTGAGAAGGATGGCATATGGTACTCTCTTCTTTAAACCTAATAATGCTCACTAATAAAGATCTTGATGCAATTTATTCAGTTTATCTAGGATATTTGTCACTCTTCATGGCTTTGTATCAACAAATATCTAGGATATTTGTGAGTTTTTAGATCTACTGTGCATTGCATCATGGCAGTTTCAACAAGTTTTATGACATCCTCATCTCTGGTACTCTAGTGAGTGAAAACTACTCTGCTTTCACATTGTACGATGGCTCTAACCTTAAATGACAGGGCTGTGTTGGCGTGGCTTTCGATCTTAGCTCATCGCAACAAGGACAAGAAAGCAGGGGAAAAGTTGGTGTCTGTTGCAGATGTTGTGAAAGAGTATTGGGCAACTTATGGAAGGAACTTTTTCTCCAGATACGACTATGAAGTAAGATCTTTGTAACAGCTCGTTGTGAGACTAACTTTCTTGTAAATAAAACCCTCAAGAGTTTTTTTATGACTGTGTAATCAGGAATGTGAATCTGAAGGAGCCAATAAAATGATGGACTATGTTAGAGATATCGTGTCTAAGAGCAAGGCCGGTGAAAGTTATGGTCAGATTCACCACATTCCAATTTCTTTATTTTTTCTGTACTTGATCACTTATTTCTATTGCTCATAACAACTTTTATCTATCAGGAGACTATGTCCTTGAGTTTGCAGATGACTTTTCATACACGGATCCTGTAAGTGAGATTATAAAAAAAAAATGTTGATGATGATAATTCAAGTTCAAGCATGCATGTACTTATGATATGGTTTATAATATTTCTGTTTAGGTTGATGGAAGTGTTGCATCCAAGCAAGGTGTTCGATTTGTTTTCACAGATGGATCCAGAATCAT